GATAAGCTTGAGTTTCAGATCAGACAATCATATTCAATAAGTTGGAATATACATTTTGGTGAAGCTCATTTGTCAGATTAAAAAACAACCTTTAAGCAGGAACTAAACATTCCTGTTTTAAAATGTTTTTATTGGTTTGATATAAAATTATAATCTTAAATGTTGTGTTTTTGTTTGCAGTAAGCAGAAAGTCATAACTAACAGAGAGGAAGATTATGTTTTTTTTCTTGGTGAACTGAGTTACTAATAATAGGCCTGTCACGATAACAAACGTTGCTGGACGATAAATTGTCCCAGAAGTTTTTGCGATAAACGATTATGTTGTTGTTTTGAGACCAATCCAAGTAATATAATGATAATAATGTCATGAAAAAGCAAGAACGCACAAAGATCAATAAACTTTGAATTCTAACATATTGAATGGGTCAATATGTATAAAACAAAAGCCTTCACTGTAAAAATAAAAAATTACGTCAATTTTACGTTTTTGTAACAGACAAAATATTGTAAACTTGTGGTTGTTGTTTTTAAAGAAATAATGAATTGAAGTTCATTGTGTTTAAGTTCTGAGGTTTCACATATCTGAAAATAATAGTAGTAAAAAAAACACGATCACCTTTGTTCTTTCTAAATAATTAAATTCAGATGAGACGCATGTTGACTGTAATGAGAACTGAACAGGGCTTAACAGAACCAGTAATTGTTTAAAATTTGGGGTTTAATTTGGGCTGGTTGGACCAGATCGTTGTGAACTGCTGTACTCAGATTTTTTTTCACTTTATTTTCTTCCCTTAACCCAAGTTAGAAGTTTTTATGCTGCAGGAGGAAACCAGGACATCCGCTGAAGACGGGAACGGGAAACCCAACAAACGACAAAAGGAAATGTTCCCACCAAAAGGCAGCAATGTTAGGTGCTCCATCTCACATCCTACCTTACATATCTGTTTAATTTAATCAATTTTTTTTGTCAATGTAGATCAAATGGTACTCTTTAATATTAGTTATTATTCAGATTTCAAACTTGACAAACTTGAGTCACTTTCACAGCTTCGTGTCTCTGCGAATGATGAATTTCATTCTTTGCGTAAAGCAAAAAAAACAAAACCGGAACGGGATGTATGGTACAAAAAATTTATTTAGTAACAGTTTTTTTTGTAAACACTTGAGGTAAATTAACATTTACATCAACTTGTCCTTACAAATAGCATCATTCATACACAAGGCACTTCTCTTGTTTTAAGACAGCGTTTGAAAACAGATTGCTGCTGTGAGCGTCGTGAGATGGTTCCTTCTCCCTGATGGGCCAGAGACATCATGCTCCGCACGAAAAAAGTAAAGAAAGAAATACTGTTAGTGGAAAGAGAGCTCAGAGGAGTCACAGGGACAACGCTCTTTGAACCCAACATCCTGTCAGGGTTGAGGGTTCGGCGAAGGGCCAGCTACCCGTTCTCTCTGAACGAGCGGCGCTGTCTTGATATGTGACGTCTGACCGGAGTCCCAGCAGGTTTGTGGGAACACATTAACTAAACAAACACGAAAATATTCCAGCTGTTTTTGCTTTTCTCTCCTTTTTCAATGTCCGGACACTTTGCTATAAGTGCGTGAGATGAATGAGCCTTTTGGTAATATTCCTACATCTGCGAACAGTTGTGTTTTTAAGACTTTTCACTCTGTCACCAGCACTCTTGCGTCACATTACGTCTCTCTGCCTCTTAATACTGTTGGCTCTGCTACTGCAGAGGAGCACCTTTGCTTCCTAAATGTGCAAGTACCGACTGCTAAAATGTAAACGTTAGAAATCATAAATAATGATAATAGCAAAAGAACAAGTCTTTTTGGTGCTTTTTTTTAATTTAAGTTACAAAGGCTGGTTTTAGCTTTGTGTTTTATCCTTGCATAGTTTTATACCTGTCCTTACACCTATAAATATACTATGCTTGGACTATACAGTTACATGATTTTGTAGCGTCTCTACTTTGCTGAAAAGTGAAAATGTCCTGCTTTTCCCTGTTCCTACTCCTGTCTCTCACTGTAGCTGCTGGCTGTGCAGACGACATGTGAAATACTGCCTACATAAAACAGTATTAAAGGAAAGAGTTTCATATTTTTGAAGTGAAGTTCTGTTACATGACTAACTGCAGCAGCAGATAGCCCACTTAATCTCTTCATTTAGTAAGTCCTCATGAGTTGGTCCTCAAGGTTGAAGGTCTTATGGGTCAAGACCAAATTCTGTTTGTTGTATTAAAATAACTCTGACGTCAAATATGTCAGTGGTTTATGTAAACACTGCTTTATGAAGAGTTAAACCATTTTCACATCTTGCAGTATCAACACATAAAATGGAAGTCGGAGGGAGTGCGCCACCAGTTATCTTCATGTTCAAAATATGTACTAATCCTGATGTTTAAGGTTTAAGCCAGTCTTTTTACCGTGCTTTACTTTTATATTATTTACATTTAGCTATGAAACTGCTTAGTTCACTGTACTCGTCTCACATAGGAACGCCACTGGTGGCGTGTCAACTCTGTCCTCCATTTCAAGTATAAAAAAAATAGCAGTTTAAATAGCCATTGACTGCTAACAGTTTTAAGGTTGCTAAAAAAGCCTTCACATAAACTGTTACGCCATTTTGAGATTTGAGCATTTTTAAGATTGTGAAAGACTGGGGATTTGGTCTTTTTGGATTAGCTAGCTGCTAGCTTCAGCCTCAGATGCTACTAGCTTCTGTCTGAAGGGCTAGTTACTGTGGATTTATACTAATGAAGATGCCGTGAGACTTATCTATTGCAAGTAAGTTATTAACTGCTTGTATACCTTTAGCAGAACTTCACTTTAAAATCTTAAACTTTGAGATTTTTCTGGAATCTCAAAGAATATCATTTCAAGATATTAGGATTTTTAAAATGGTAAAAGACTGGGGAGTTGGTCTTTTTAGATTAGCTAGCTGCTAGCTTCAGTCTAGTTAGCTTCAGTCTCAGACGCTGAAGCTACTAGCTTCTGTCTCCATTGCTAGCTAATGTGGATTTATACTAACGAGGATCCCTTGATACTTATCTATTGCAAGTAAGATATTAACTGCTGAAAAACCTTTAGCAGAACTTCACTTTAAAATCCTAAACTGTCCCTCTAATTCTCCATTGTGCTGTTATGCTCAGTAACATGTCAAGTACAGATGAGGTTTTTCACTCGGGTGCCCCGGTGAGGGGCTAGTGACAATATACCATAGATTAAGGTTAATGCAAAGAGAAACAGCATTTTGAAAATGCTTGTGGCGTGAACAACCAAACAGGACAGTAACACACCACGTACACAGCAGCGGGTGGCGGTTGATGAGTTAACACCTCGGGTTTTCTGAAGGTGACAAGAGAAATAAAAAGCATTAGTGGGGTACTGCACAACAGCGTTTCAAAAACGCACAACAGCTGTTTTTGTTTTTTCTTTTTAATCTGAGTTGCTGCTCAGTCAAAAACTGACTACTACAGGGATGTGAGTAAAATTCAACTCAGTTTCTTAAAAAAATAGCACTTTTCAGAATAAAACCAATGAAGAAGCACATGAAGTGTGTAACAATAAAAAATAATGGAGCTTCCAAGGTTGCTATCGTTGTTCAGGTGTGATTAAAAAGGTAGTTGTGGGTATGTGGGGAGGGGGAACGACCCACCAAAATAACTACAAAATACTTGTTACAAATCCTTAACCAAAACCCTCTGGGCTGCTATATTTTGAACATTGGCTGGCCTTATTTTTTGCATTATATTTTAAAAGTTTTTGGCATGCAATACCTTTGTGCAATATATTTTTACTTATGCTGGCTGAAAGCAGAGGCAGGTAGCCATTTTCTCTGAGAGGACAAGGTCAATTATGTGGGAATCACTTGGTTAATTTTGACCGGCATTTTTTTTTTCCCTTCATCCTGATTGATAAATTTTTAAAACATTGGCAAAAAGATACATAGTGGATTTAGGGTAAAAGTAGATTAAGTGCCAGTGCACCGGTGAGTTGTAGGACTACACTTTCCGCAACGATCTGTCTTGAAAACAATTATGTTGTTAAAAAAACAAAACGTCTACAACCTTTCAATGTGACATTGATGTCAGAGTCTTTAGTAAACCCCCATATTGAACATCAAGTAAGCTAATGTGAATTGCAATAACATAGAGCGCTGACATCTTTTTACGGTGCTTCCTGCAGCTGAAAAGCACATTTTCATTCAGTATTAGGCCATATCAAAGAATACCGGGGCTTTTAAGTTTTCTAAACCACTAAAATGTTCTGTTTTACCACTCATACTATTTAAATCATCTTAATGAAATCTCAGACAAAGTGCCAATGTGACCAGTGCTTTCTCTCCTACCTGTTGCTGCGCACTGGTGGGCAGCAGGCCAAGACAAAGCCACTACACGTTTCCCTCACTTACAGAAAAGTGTCATGGTATTGGAAACTGAAATAGCACCAGCAATCCCTCTTATGAAGGCAGTTCTGTTCTGAAACGACAACAAGTGGCATGTCTAAAGCGGCTGAGCAGATAGGCTTGCTACCTGAACAGATAGCCAAGCTATTAACCAACTGTAGATGACGTGGACACAGTGGTATTTATCGTAAGAATCTCATTATCTTGACACATAAATTAGGAAAATATGTCAGTTTGCTCCAACAAATAAGAGTGAAACACCATTAAGTCTTCCCACCAAACCAAGTTGCTAAAATTTACCTTTAACAACATAAAATTTTACCTTCTGCTTTTTGTTAAAAGGTGTGATCATACTTTTTGTGCACAGTCCTAGCAAACTTTACATAAGCAGGTCTACAACTCACCGATTGCAGTAAAAGGCTGCAGCCGGGGGCGACAGTATTTGACCCAAGACTCTCAACACCATCCTGAGTCCCCAGAGTCCGAAACCTTTCCCAGTTCTCACATGGTGGCAGCTGCCACACTTACAAATTAAAACCTGTCTGCCATAGCTAATGACTAGTAAATTTAGTTTGTGTTTAAGGTTGACAATTGATACGTTTTTGTTAGGCCATGGGATCAAATATTTGAAAGCCAGAACAGGACTTAGATTGGTGGGGCCTGGGAGCGTCGGGTGAACTGGACCCTTCTGTCTGGGGAAGTGATTCCAAACTAACATCTACATTTTATGCTGATTTGCTTTCCTGCCTCTTGTTACTTTGTCTTTTTGTATTTTTCTTAGATCTTGTTCCTACCTAAAACAAGTATGTATTGCTTTCCTTGCTTGTTTAACAATCACATTGTTTGAGGGCGTGGTAGAGGGAAGCCGGAGGTGCTGTTGGGGGACACTAAAGGGCCAAAGCGCTTCTAGACAGCCAGGTCGCTTGGCCTGGCCCTGACGTTGCTGCTCTTGCTTGCCCGGCTGAGCCGCCGAGGGTCTGTGCTGGCCATGAGCGGAGGCTCGTGCATCTCCACCGTCGTTATGGTGCGGTGGACCTCCTCCTGTGTGTTGTCGCCTCCTCCACCGCCTCTGTCGGTGGCTGGGCTGCTGCCGCCGTTGCTGCCCGAGGCGGCGTTGGTGGTGGTGTTGGCGTTGCTGTTGGTGTTGTTGCTGGAAAGAAGCAGCGCAGCACCAGCCGGCGTCTGCTGCTGTTCGTTCTCATTGTTGGCAGAAGAAGACGAGGATGGCGAAGGGGAACCCATCTCCCGAGTCTGCTGCTCGGTGGCCAGGTTGGCCCAGTTCTGCTGCGTGGCCAGCCTGTGGTTGTTGCTGATGTAGTATCGAGAAGGGGAAGAAGACTGCTGAAGGGACTCTTCCTGCTGGAGGTCACCCATCTTGAACTCCGCCGCTGAAACCATCGTCGCCGGCCTTACAGGTGGCAGGAACGCCCCGCTGCCTGCTGTCACGTCTATGTAGTTGGGAGGGTAGCTGAGGCTGGATGGGACAGTTCTGGAGGCCGAGGCCAAACACTGAGGCTCTTCAGCGTTGGCGCGCTGCAGCGACTCGCTGTCGGGGACGAACTCGTTCGTCATGCCCTGCTTGAGTTTCTTCCATCCGAGGTGATAGATCTCTAACAAATTCAGCAAAAGAGACACGCAAGCCACCACAAGCATAAATATAATAAAAATGGTCTTTTCAGTGGGCCTTGATATGAAGCAGTCAACGGTGTTGGGGCACGGCCAACGTGCGCATTTGTACAGGGGCCTCAGCTGGAAGCCATACAGGAAATACTGGCCCAAAATGAAACCCACTTCAAACAGGGTCTTGAAAATAATATTGAACACATAAGTGCGCAGCAGCGCACCTCTGATGCGGATTTTGCCGTGCTCGTCTCTGATGGGCGGCTTCTCCTTCTTCCCGCTGCCTCCGGTATCGCCACCGTTTCTGTAAAGGAGTTCCTTCTCCTCTTGAAACCTGTTCGCTTTGCGCATCTCCTCCTCTTTTTCCTTCCGCTTCTCCTCCATGCGAACGATGTGCAGCACGTGGCCCAGGTAGATGAGGGTCGGCGTGGACACGAAGATGATCTGCAGCACCCAGAAGCGGATGTGCGAGATGGGGAAGGCCTCGTCGTAGCAGACGTTCTCGCAGCCGGGCTGCTGGGTGTTGCAGGTGAAGTCGGACTGCTCGTCGCCCCAGACCTCCTCGGCCGCGGCGCCGAGCACCAGGATCCTGAAGATGAAGAGGACGGTCAGCCAGACTTTGCCGATGACTGTTGAGTGCTCCTGAGCATTCTCCAGCAGCCTCCCCAGAAAACTCCAGTCGCCCATGCTTCCACGTTTCTAGCCTACGGAGAAAGTACAGGCTGGGGAGGAGAAAGAAAAAAACAAAACAAAAAAAAACACGAGAAAGAGGACAGAGGAAGAGATTATGTCAAGAGAAACAAACGGCCAATGACTCTTGAAACAACTACAAGGGACGAAGGCTCTTACCCTGAACTGAGACGCTGTACATAGACACATACAACAACTGTTGGCATAAAACCGTCTATACCACTGAATACCTATCAGAAGAGGATCTGAACACAAAGCTGCAGCCTTTCAGTACTGATGCTGGTTTACTGTACAAGCCACCTGTGTGATTGAAGCCCAGTTCATTGGCTTTTCTCTCTGTGTCTGTGTCAGGCCCTGTCTCTGTCTCCCAGCTGCTCGCTCCGCTGCGCAGCAGGCATGTGCTGAGATCGACATTATTATGTTCGAAAACAGCATTTAGCAGAGATGGGGCTCTAGGATGCCACAACGCGCGCGCACACACACACACACACACACACACACACACACACACACACACACACACACAATGATATATACACATTTACACATCCCCCCCTCCCCTCACCCCAGTCTCTGTCTGGTGTAACACACACAAAAAAACTGCCTGAACCATATAAAAAAAATCTGTTACTGTATTTTGGACATAAAAATATTAAGCACTAAGTTCTAACATGTTATTAAAACTCAAAATAGAAAATTAGAATAGGCTCAACATGTAAATATATAGCGTTTTAGTTTGATGCGTCGTGAACTCGACGAATTCAGATTTTTCTGGTAAATAAATAGAAGCCAGGGTGAAGAATCATTTTTAATCGATTCATTTTTGACGGCCTACAACTAGATCAATCATTGTCTGAAATCTTAAATCAGCTATTTCCAGTGGTTTTTAAAACTGTGTATTTCAACCGGTATTTTCCCCAGCAGTTTGAAATGAACATGTAATAAATTGAGAAAATGGCAAAAAAATTTGAATCAAAACTAAATTTTAGAGAAAACACTTACTGAAAAACTCTTGAATTAAAGGTGACAAATCCATCGACTAAGGTTCACAACCCGTTTGACACCTAGAAGAGAAAAGCAATTTGTCAAACATCAAATTACTGAGACCTTTTGAGTCTTTGCAATAAAAAGTTGAACTCACACTGCAGTTGAAGTACAAAATAACATCAAGAAACAGGAGACGGATGATTACTGAAGACACTCTGCATGTTACCTGCTGTAAACTTTGCAAGACATGAAGGAATCCCACAGAGGTCACCCTCACTGAGTCACAAAGTTTTTCTTTCCACTTTGCGGAGAGTTTTCAGTGGCAAAATCCTCAAATTCAGCAAAGTTTAGCGGCATTTAGGCCCACCAGCCGAACAGAGTCAGGTTCAAATACAAAGCCATACGTGCCAGACTCACAATGCAGAGTGTGCCAGAGAGCCCAGACTCCCTTTAAGCGCCACAAGCTTTGTCAGGCTTTTGTCCCTCTGTTGATCAGTAAAACCCCAGAGCTGGTCTTAATTACCTTCAGACTTCTTCATTAACTCCCTCCTGACGACCAGAGGGAGTCGGGGGAGATGCGGGGTTCGGGTCACTTCAGCGTTTGTCCGTCATGAAGATGTCAAAGTTTCACAGGAAGATGAAATCCATCAGCCCGTCAGCGGTGGCATGGTCGGAAAAGCGTCGAGACCTCCTGCTGAGAGGCTCCCTGAAGACTTACTTCTCTGATAATTGCATCAGCTCTTTTTTTGTTTGTTTGCTTTAAATGTTGCCGCAAAAAAGAAAAAAAAAGAAAAAAAAAGAAAAAACCCTCACGAACTAACTTTTCCAGCTCCCTGGTCTGTCCTGGGTCCGTAAGTAGTTTCCCGTAACAACAATAATAATAATAAGAAGAAGAAGAAAAAGTTGCCCTCTGTTTGTTGTCAGTTTATGGCGCATCGGCCTGGAGACGCAGATGTCGCTCGGTTACACGGAGCTGGGACCCTTTTCCACCCATGTCTGGGCTGTCACACTGTGTGACCATGCATGAGTGAATCCACGGAGTCATCTGCCTGTCCCGAGTCACACCACGCCCCGTGTCAACCTGCCCACCCCACCCCCTCCACCCACCCAAATATAAAACCGTGGGCAAAAAAAAAAAAAAAAAAAAGCCCCAATTTTAAATTTAAAATATTTTCAAAAAAAACAAATAAAAAAAAAAA